TGGTGAGAGTAGGCAGTAAAAAAATTGTTGCCAATGTAAGGACTCCTGGGACACTGACAGAATGACAGGGTCGAAACTTAGAAATTCCTTTGTTGCAGATGAAGTAGAGGAATTTGTATTCCTCTGGGTGGATTGGAATGTGCAGTAAGACAATTTCAGATCCACCAACAAGTCTGGGTTAAATATGGCAGGGGTTGAGTTACTGTAAAAAGGAACCCCGTGTACATGTAATAATTATCGACGGAGATTGGAGTTTGATAATGAGTTGGGACGAACAAAGGGGCAGACATGAATCTGAGTGGGTAGCCGAAAGAGCAGACACAGGTATTCATCCAACCAGCCAGATGTCTGCTAGAACCTTACTAGTGTAGGTAGCACCTACAAGTTTGGGTGTTGAGGTCACCTGACAAGTGTTGTAACTGGCGTCAGCCCCAAAAGAATGGAGGCAGCATTAACGTTCCCTTCGAGTCTGCATCTTCCAGCACTATCTGCGAGGATTTAGGAGAGGGTAAAGCAGGATTTGACTGGTGGTGAGGCCGGGGGGCGAAGGAAGGAGGACAAAAATTTTTCCAGTGTTGTCCTCCGAATCCGTCGTAACCACAGGTTAGTTTGGAAAAGGTCTTTCCCATACAGGGTTGGCTGGAATTTAATTTACGCTATCACACGGGAAGCTCATCACTCCCATTCCTTAACAATGGTTCTATGGGTAGATGTAGACAGGCAAGAAAACCTCATGAATCACTTGAAGAAAGAGAAGAGATTTTTTGTCCAGGGACCCCTAGTACGACTGTAGTGGAGGCTGGACAACAGTGAGAGATCTCTTTCAAGTGTAAAAAGGAAGGTACTCTAATAATAGAGGGATGAAATAAATTGGGACTGTGAAGAAAGACTCCATTTAGCCTAGATAAAGATGGTTTGAATTTGTCTTCAATGAGCAAGAAATTATTGCCAGAAGACTAGCTATGTCAGATGTGCTTAGCGACAGTCCATAACTTCAGGACATGCAAAAAAAGTTGAGGACTTCGGCGGTGTTACTAAATTCATGGGAGATTAAAGTCAGGCCGCACATACTCAAAAGGAAGGAAACTTGAAAGTTGAAAATGGAGCATCCGCAGATCCCTCCGAAATAAACCTACTCAAAAAAGTTAAGGACCACTTTTTGTAACTTGTAATTTTTTTCCAAGCAATGACTGGGGTCTAGCTCTTTCATTTTTTGTTTGTATAGATTGTGTTCTCATTGAAATAAATTTTTTTTGAAGTTTCAAAACATCAAATGCACATTTTTTCAAAACGGACAGTTTCAGGGTAAGTCAAATGGCAAAATAAAAAGTGGTCCTTCACTTTTTTGAGTGGTATAGTACTGCCTGAAAGGTGCAAAAAGTACATGTAAATATTTCCTGTTCAGGAATTAACCTCAACGGACACAAAAAACACCTCAATATCCCAATTTATTCCCTGGCTCAATGAATTCAAACATTAAATTCAGATGTGGACACAGCTTTACCAAGTGCACCTTTTCATTTTGATCACATGGGACACAGTCAGAAGAGGTGATCCCTGGCACAATCGTGACAAAAGCAAGAGCTCAAAGTAGGTCCACTTTTGTCAGATCTTGTATTGCAGTCACAGTATAGAGAC